GGGCTCTTATGTGAGGAACAATAGTGGTGGTTATTCTGGCCCCTACATCATACAGGTGTGGGGTGTAGTGTTCTGGGGGGTTGAGGTTTTAGAGTCTAGCTGTGAAGATTTCCGACACTTTAGGCTTTAGGGTGTAATTACCTAAACCCTCAGAAGCAGGCAAAATATTGGCCCAACCCCTCTAAAAAGGCCATTATTCTACATACTTTCCCTAAACCCTAAGCCCTAAACCCAATTCCTAAACCCTAAACCCTAAACCCTAAACCCTAAACCCTAAACCCCGGGGTCCGGTACAGTAAAGTCTCGGGTTGGGGGATTAAGGCAGAGGGTGGAAGGCCGCTTCGGACGTAGACTGCTCAGTTTAGGGGGTATCGGGTTTAGGGTTTAGGGTTTAGGGTTTAGCGTATCAAGGCTTTAGGGTTTAGGCTGTGGGCCTTGGCGGTTTCAGGGTTTAGGGTTCAGAGCATTGCGGGACCCAGGGCAAAGGAGGCTCGGAGAGTGTAGTGTTTAGGGTTTAGGGGTTTTGGGTTTAGAGGTTTGGGGTTTAGGGGTTTAAGGGTTTAAGGGTTTTGGCTTTAGGGGTTTAAGGGTTTAGGGTTTAGGGTTTAAGGGTTTAGGGTTTAGGGTTTAGGGTTTAGGGGTTTAAGGGTTCAGGGTTTAGGGTTGCTAGGGATAAGGGTGCAGGATTGCGAGTTTGGAGTGGGGCGCTTCTTCGGCTTTTGATTGCGGTGGGCCGGCGCCAAAGATGGCTTACGGCGTTCCATGGCATGTCGACGGCTTTAGCAGATTATCGTCCCCCTCAGGCTCCTCAGGCAAGACCGGTAGGCAAGTACTCTCCAAACAGGGTTTAGGGTTTGGGGCTTAAGGGTTTAAGGGTTTAAGGGTTTAAGGGTTTAAGGGTTTAGGGTTTAGGGTTTCTAAACCCGTTGCCCCGAATCTTCGACGACCCGACAAGGGGCTGTAGCTGGAATTTTCGTCGCATGTACTCCTCGAAGAAGCCCGCGAAGGAGGTTTCCTGGTGACACGTGTCAAAGCCCCCTAAACCCAAAGACTCCAATGCCACTCTATTCGATTAGACAAGTTTGAGGATGGCGGCAGCCGAACCTAGGTGCTATTGCCGAGCCATAACTAGACAAGACACGCGTTTTGGAAGATATTGCAAAATCCAGCAAAAGTGCACATGCAAAAAACAGAAAGGGGACAACATTATCTGTGATTCTGAATCTGATATTCAGATTATGATCTCCATATCTGAAGGACCTCATATGGAGATCAGGTTCTGATCTCAAACCCTAAACCCTAAACCCTAAACCCTAATATTAGGGTTTGCTGTAGCTTCGAGAGTTTTTTTGGGGCGTGAGGCGCTGAGAGGCCAGGAGCTCGGAGTCGATCGGTTTAAAAAGGGTTTGGGGTTTCAGGGTCTAGGGGTTTGTACGGTTTAGGGTTTAGGGTTTGGGGTTTAGGGTTTAGGGTTTAGGGTCTAGGGGTTTGTACGGTTTAGGGATTTAGTTTAAGTTACCATAATAGGGATCTATAGTAAATAATATGGTTTCCTTATTATGGTAACTTAAATTAAATCCTTAACAAGAACCCAGTAGGGGTTTATACGGTTTAGGGTTGAGGGGTCTAGGGACTAGGAGTGGGATGAAGGATTAGGGTTTAGGGTTTCAGGGTTTAGGGTTTCAGGGTTTAGGAATCTTGAGGGTTTAGGGGTTCAGAGCTTCAGGTGTTTAATTGGCGTGATCAGGCTGGACAGATTATGTTGCAGGTTCTAGGCAAAGAGTTACAAGGACTTTAGAATCATTCAATCGGGGGCTTGTTTCTGGCGCTTAGATGCATAAGCTGAACTGCTGACAGCAAGGTCTTGTCGGACTAATTTGACACATCTGTGTTTCTTGTTTTTCTTTGTCTGCTGTGCTGCCTTTTCGATTCGGGATTCGAGTTTGGGACCCTCACCCACAACCTTCCAAGACCCTAAACCCAAACTATGCCAAACCTGATATTTTGGGCAGGGGATGTTCCTATCCACTTTGGGGTCTTGGCACCCAGTCTATGCCAAATGGCCTTGTTGGAATGGTGGCCACATCATGCAGAGAATGCTCATGCCACTGATTTCGCGAAAGGCCTAGGGTTTGGGCACCAGACCCCAAGCTCTAAACCCTGAAGGGAGCCCTATCCTTCAGGGTAATATAGGGGCCTTGTATAATAATTAGAATGAGGTTTGAGGGTTTATTATACTATAACTTATAACTATAATAAGGAGCCCCCAAAATAGTGTAGGCAATTATCATCAGCCCCTACATTATCTAGGAATTGAGGTTCCATCAATTCAGAATTCAGGGTCGATATTGGCGGCCCCAGTCTTCTAAAGCTCCCATGTAACGCCTAAACCTTAAACCCCCAAAGCCCTAATCTACAGTATCCCGAAAGCACCTCGACTATGTTTCTTGAAGGCCGCTTTAGGGTTTAGGGTATAGAAGTCGGAAGCTCGCCATTTTCAGGGCGCAGCAGTCCGGAAGCCCAGCAACCAAATCCGGATCCGCAAACATCGGGAGCCTGAACCAAACCCGAAACCCGAACCGCTGCACGGTGAACTTTGTGAGCCCCGAAAGGCCCGCGGCCTTTTCCCTTGCACCCACTCGCCTGCGACGTGTCGACGACATTGGAGCAGGTCGTGTGCTCGCGCAGCACGGCTTCAACCCTTGGGGCTGTGGCTTGGGATGCAGGCTTCGGGTTTAGGGCTTGAGTCTTGGATGGAAGTTGGTTTAGAAAAGCCGAGGCAGGGGCATCTGCTTCTGCTCTACCTCTTCATTATTTACTGTGTGACATTTCGTGTTCAGGAGGCACACACTGGCTGCCCTCCCCCAACAAACTAAGATAGAATCCCAAGCAACATTCAATGGACGGCAGTTTTTGACATGCTTCTCAAATGCTATATTTCCCCTTGCAACGATGTCGAACCCGTGCATCGTTTTATTAAACTACACAGCTAATCGTCTGCAACCCGAAGCTCTGCAACCCTAAGCCCTCAAAACATCTGCAATGCCAAAAACTTCATGGTGTATGGCCGCTTCTAGGTGGTTCTTTACAATTCAGAATTCGTGTCCCTTTTAGGATCCTTTTATAACGGTGATGTACTATTTTGGCGACCTAAACAGGGACCCTCATTTAGAAAACTACCCTTCTAGGTTGTCCGTGCTCAAGAATGAGGATCAAACGAGAGCAACCAACTTCCTCACATGCCCATGCGCAGCTGTACAAATCGCTTTGTGCTGGCTCGCATTCGCAAAAACGTCTCCAGACTCCGACCCAACAGCAGCACCGGCAGTCTTGGCAGTGGCATCAATCACAGGAGGGTTAGAAGCACCGGTCGGTACAAATGTCGTGGCAAAAAGCAATTCTGGAAGAAGCACCACCACGAGCAGTAGCAGTTATAGTAGTAGCAGTAGTCGTAGTGTGGTGGTAGTAGTGGTGTTGGTGGCATCGGTAGTAGTGGCCAGTAGTAGTAGTAGTAGTAGTAGTAGTAATAGTAATGAGTAGTAATGAGTAGTAATGAGCAGTAATGAGTAGTAATGAGTAGTAATGAGTAGTAGTAGTAGTAGTAGTAGTAGTAGAAGTAGTAATGAGTCGTGGTGGTAGTAGTAGTAGTAGTAGTACTAGTAATGAGTCGTGGTGGTAGTAGTAGTAGTAGTAGTAGTAGTAGTGGTAGTAACTAGTACTACTACCAGTAGTAGTAGTAGTAGTAGTAGTAGTAGCAGTAGTAGTAGTAGTAGTAGTAGTAGTAGTAGTTAGTAGTAGTAGTGGTAGTAGTAGTAGTCGTCGTCGTCGTCGTCGCCGTGAGTAGCAGCTCTAATAAAAAAAAAGAGGACTTCCGCAATTCTGTTTCTATGTATCTCTTTTTTTCTGTGCTTTC